GCACTACTCGTCCTGGCTGGATGCCCACTTTCGCACGACATGTGCGGGGCGCTGGCACAGGACGCACTGGGCTGTGAATGCGCACTGGCGACATCTCCGCATACCTTGGTTCCTCAATGAACACATGCTTCTTTTGTTGCCTGACCAGCTCCTCTCTCCGTGCATCCACTACTTTCTTCTCCCTACGGGCCTCCTGCAGCGCCTCCTCTTGAAGGGAGCTCTCCTGCTCTAACCTCGCCATCAGCCCCCGTAATGTGGTGGCCTCCTCTCTTAAACTGCTGATCCGCAGGTCTTGGAGGACTTCTAAAATAGCGGCCTCCTCCTCTACAGTCAGCCCTTTCACGGCCTCCTGCTGCTTCGTCGACCACCCCGTGTGCCCCCCAAAAATGTTTTTTGCGTTTGCCTCTCGGGTCTCCTTCTTCGATTCGCCTTTTGGAGTCGCCATCTTTTCTCCCTCGCTGCCTCTGTTTGCTCCCAAGGAAGGCGATCCATACCTTCCTGGATCTCCTCCCATGTCCACGATCCCTTACCATTTAATATCTCCTCCCAAGTCCATGATTTCTGCTCCTCCTGGGCACGCTGCTTGGTCCTTGTTTGATGGGATCTTCTGTCACGTTAGTTGAGAGACGGGTCAGACCAAGGTGCAGCGTGGTATGTGTACATGTTTATTAGAACGAATAAAGACTCGACAAAACAATAAAAGCAACGTAACCGTGAAGTCCTATGGGCTATAACACCACAAGCCTAACAGGAACACAAACAAGATCCCACAACTAAGGTAGGCAACATGGCTGCCTAAGTCTGATCCCCAATCAGAGACAACGATAGACAGCTGCCTCTGATTGGGAACCACACCCGGCCAACATAGAAATACAAAACTAGATATACACATAGAAATTCACCGGAGCTGGACTGGGCACCGGTGGAGCGGACTGCTCTGGCTCCGGAGTGGAGCCGCTGACCGGAGCTGGACTGGGCACCGGTTAGCCCTGACCAAACCAACTAAAGACAACCGGGCTCTCAAGGCCAGGGCGTGACATGGAGATGCTTAATGTGAGTCTGGAAGGAGAGTTTACAGTCTAACCAGACACCTAGGTATTTGTAGTTGTCCACATACTCTAGGTCAGACCCGCCGAGAGTAGTGATTCTAGTCGGGTGGGCGGGTGCAAGCAGCGTTCGGTTGGAGAGCATGCATTTAGTTTTACTAGTGTTTAAGAGCAGTTGGAGGCTATGGAAGGAGTGTTGGATGGCGTTGAAGCTCGTTTGGAGGTTTGTTAACACAGTGTCCAATGAAGGGCCAGATGTATACAAAATGGTGTCGTCCGCATAGAGGCGGATCCGAGCGTCACCAGCAGCAAGAGCGACATCATTGATATACACAGAGAATAGAGTCGGCCCGAGAATTGAACCCTGTGGCACCCCCATAGAGACTGACAGAGGTCCAGATAACAGGCCCTCCGATTTGACACATTGAACTCTATCTGAAGAAGTAGTTGGTGAACCAGGCGAGGCAGTCATTTGAGAAACCAAGGCTATTTAGTCTGCCAATAAGAATGCGGTGGTTGACCGCCATTGGACTTGGGGCTTGTTAAGTGTGCCTTGAATTCTAAATAAATAACAGACCGTGTCACCAGCAAAGCACCCCCACACCATAACACCTCCTCCTCCGCTTTACGGTGGGAACTACACATGCGTCTCACAAAGACACAGCGGTTTGAACCAAAAATCTCCAATTTGGACTCCAGACCAAAGGACACATTTCCACCGGTCTAATTTCCATTGCTCGTGTTTCTTGGCCCAAGCAGGTCTCTTATTATTGGTGTCCTTTAGTAGTGGTTTCTTTGCAGCAATTCGACCATGAAGGCCTGATTCACACAGTCCCCTCTGAACAGTTGATGTTGAGATGTGTCTGTTACTTGAACTCTGTGAAACATTTATTTGGGCTGCAATTTCTGAGGCTGGTAACTCTAATGAACTTATCCTCTGCAGCAGAGGTAACTCTGGGTCTTCCATTCCTGTGGCGGTCCTCATGAGAGCCAGTTTCATCGTAGCGCTTGATGGTTTTTGCGACTGCACTTGAAGAAACGTTCAAAGTTCTTGAAATGTCCCATATTGACTGACCTTCATGTCTTAAAGTAATGATGGACTGTCGTTTCTCTTTGCTTATTTGAGCTGTTCTTGCCATAATATGGACTTGGTCTTTTGCCAAATAGGGCTATCTTCTGTATACCCCCCTACCTTGTCACAACACTGTCATCAAGGCAAAGGGTGGCTATTTGAAGAATCTCAAATATAAAATGTATTTTGATTTGTTTAACACTTTTTTGGTTACTACATGTTTCCATGTGTTATTTCATAGTTTTGATGTCTTCACTATTATTCTACAATGTAAAAAATAGTAAAAATAAAGAAAAAGTGTAGGCCCTAACAATTTGTGGGCACCGTTTGTCACGGTTATAGTGCAATTAATGTATTGTTTAGTGTTGTGTTATGTAGTGACTTTGTGTCTATTGTGAAGAAAATTTGTCACGGCACACGCACCTGAATGCACTCATGACTCCTTTCCCTGAATTGCATTGTGAAAGCCTAACACCTTTATATCGTATTTTATAATTTAGCTAGTCATGTTGGCAGCTGGCTTACAAATTAATTACATCAGTAATTGTACGATGGTGGGGATGCAGGGTTGTGTTCCAAACAAAACAAGTGTGCTTGCTCCAGTTCCTCAAAGGCACAGCTAGGAGAGCTCAAAAAAGCACCTTATAAACCATGTTTCCATCCAACCATTTCATGAGGATGAATTACCTGAGGCATGAAAAAAGTCACGACTTGGCTGATGGAGACATTAAATGTTTATCCACAAAAAGTCAATTTGATTGAAACATCTCTGGTGGGAAAATGCGCAAAATATATATTTTTTGAATATTCGCATGAAAATCTGTCGCAAATTGGATGGAAACCTAGCTAATGTTGAAGACTCTTCTTTCAGTCATAAAAGTGCATTGAAATTACTTAGGAACTGTGCACACTTTGGAGAGGTGTATGGCCACTTGGAGACACCAGTTAGTCCACTCACTCAAACCCTTGTAATATTTTGTCTCATGTTGCACCTACCAGCAATATTCTTATCATGTTACTGAATGTATCCAGAGTATTTTCCGATTTCGTTATCAACAAATGCGGCGAAAAGTACAGTAAATGTAAAATGCACAAAATCAACAGTGTAATGTTTGGATTCAGTCTTGTGTCAGGTGAACTGTTGTGGCCTCACCTTTGGACTAATCATTTTCCTATTTTCTCCAAAATGTTCCCTTTCAATTGCTACCAAATACAATTGTATTTGTCACATGAGCAGAATACAACAGGTGTAGACCTTACCGTGTAATACTTACTTACAAGCCCTTAACCAACAATGCAGTTAAGAAAATAAAAAGTAACAATAAGGAGGCTATATACAGGGGGTACCGGTACCGAGTCAATGTGCAGGGGTACAGGTTAGTTGAGGTAATATGTACATGTAGGTAGGGGTAAAGTGACATACTTTTCATATTTCTTCTGTAAGAAACATTTCAATTTTGCCCTATCCATACAGGTCAATTACCACAAGTGTAAAGGGTTTAAAAAAAAAACCTGCTCATGATAACTATTGTGTCCAAAATATAGAGGCACAAACATACACCTATTAACATTTGTTTATTTGACATGTATAAGGAGGAACCACTGTAACAGCAATCTTTACTAAAATATATTACTAGATTTGAATATATAAAATACATGTTTAATACAGAGAACAGAAAAGTAAGCATTTTAAGCTCCTTGAAGCAAAAGAAGAGTTCCACATACTGTATATACTGTACAGACCCCTTGTGCCATTACCCACTCACATTATATCCCCAGTCCCTTTTCAGCCTGGGAAAGTAGCAGAAAAGTCCATTTTAAAGGTGAAAATGTTTAATTGTCAAGTACAGAGATTCCCTTTGTGTGACAACATTTTTAACCAATGTCCTGTGATTACTTAGCCAGTTTTACATACCCAGTGTGAGAGACATTCAGTGTCTAGGGGGCAAAGAATAATTTGTGATGTGCAGATTAAGTCCCTATTGAGTGAATTTCCTATTGTATATAAATACAAATACATAAATTGTACTTTTGTCCATGTGTATGGCTACTGATAGAGTGGTTCTTGGAACTGGGGGTAATTGGTCAAATCTATAATCAAATGCTGTAACCTAAACAGGGTTGGGAGATCTTTCTCTAAACATTCTCACCCCCTGGTTTTACTGATGATCATGCATGTAGTGATATGGAAAGGGGTGAGCACGAGATTACAGTCCCACTTACATATAGGGTCAAGCTAGGGAAGTAGCGGGAATGACACCCTGGAACTAATGCTGAGGCATCTAATAGGGACTCAATGTGTGAAAAAGTCATTTTCTGCATGATCTGTGTGCCAATGTCTCCCTCCTTTCTCACACAGCAACCAACATAGAAAAATAACAAAAAATACAGGGACGCACTCCACAAAAAGGCTCCCAAACAATGTGCACCAAGAGGCTGTCCCAGATATGGCCTAATTCAATACTTTGCTGTCATTTTATGATGTTAAAGTGATCCTGTCCATACTAATACAATGATATGCACAACAGTCTTTTAAAAGTAGCTTAAAGTAAAAAGATCAGACACAAAATGGCATTGTTGCATTAAAAAACGATTTGCATAATTTCATAAAACATTTTCCCTTTCAGTTCTTGATACCATTATGGTCCACAAAAACAAAGAATACCGCCTTGGTGGCACATTATGGTTTATCTATAAAAGAAGGATAGAGCGTGTCTCCTCCACAGGCAGTAAGCACCGAGAGATAAAATCAGGCTGAAGAAGAGGGGAGCACAAGTTCCAGTTTGGCAAAAGAAAGCGGGAGAGAGGCAAGGTTGGGTTTGGAACAGCGGATTGTCCGGTTGAAGGCAGCTCAAAAGGACCCTGTGTTCACTTCATACGATGGCTGTCTGTCTCAGATCAACCCGATCATCCACCATGGAGATGTCCTTATCTAGCTTGCAGCAGTTTACCTGAACTGAAACACACATATTTGAAACAATAATTGACTTTTAATGATGCAGCATTAGAGTTAGCACAGCATTTTTCATGTGGCAGTTTTTTCAGTAAGTACTACCCTAAACATGAACACAAATCCAGCCATTATGTCTCTTACCATGTTTTTAGGTGGTAAGTTGGGTTTCTGAGCCAAGGCAGGTTTCATCATGACACTAGGCTTGGAGGGTTTGGGTGAGGAGGGTGCAACAGCGGCAGGTGAGGGGGCCAGGCCGTTGCCCTCTGAGAGGTCTGCTGCTGGAACACCTGCTATATCATAGTGCTTCTTCCTGAGCTCTCCCAGACGCAGACGCTCATTACCCAGCTGATTCTCCAGCTCCAACACCTTCACCTGAGACATACATACAGTAGAGGAGGGTTACAACCACACAGAAACACATGTATAGAGACAGGCTCAAACAGACAGACACACAAAAACATACACAGGCCCTGGGACTCACCTGTGACTCAATTTCCTCCATTTTTAGTTTGATGAGAGACATTCCAGAGAAGTCCATGGTATCTGCAGAAGTAAGAGAAAGACAAACATCAAACACAGCCATATGACTCATAACGGCCTGAGGGTATTCACATCTTCTGTTTGGTTGGACACACACAAACACACACTAACCCTTGTCCTCCAGGTGCTCCTGGCCCGTCTTGGTGGAGGCCACCACGTTGGCTGCCATCTCGTTCACATGGCGAGAAGCCTGCTGGAGAGCTGTCAGTTTCGTACTGTTGCGGTCTGCTTTTACCTAAACACAGAGAAGGAGAGAGGGAGGGTGAGAAAAATAGTGATAGGGACACAACTTGAATATATACAGTACCAGTCAAAAGTTTGGACACACCTACTCATTCAAGGGTTTTTCTTTATTTTTACTATTTTTTACATTGTAGAATAATAGTGAAGACATCAAAACTACTAACTAATTGGTAGGTCTACCATTACTTGTTACTTATGTGAACTTTAATTATCCTCCTTCCTCATGAGGGAGAGAAATTAGAAAATATCTTAAAGATGTGTGTTTTTGGTAACAGAATTACAAGGCAATATTTCTTAAACTTACAGAAGGTAAACAATTTCTACGAAACTAAATATAACATTATTGTGCTTTGATATACAGTACCAGTAAAACGGTTGGACACTCCTACTCATTCAAGGGTTCTTCTTTATTTTTACTATTTTCTACATTGTAGAATAATAGTGAAGACATCAAAACTATGAAATAACACATATGGAATCATGTAGTAACCAAAAAAGTGTTAAACAAATCAAAATATATTTTATATTTGAGATTCTTCAAATAGCCACCCTTTGCCTTGACGACAGCTTTGCACTCTTGGCATTCTCTCAACCAGCTTCACCTGGAATGCTTTTCCAACAGTCTTGAAGGAGTTCCCACATATGCTGAGCACTTGTTGGTTGCTTTTCCTTCACTCTGCCGTCCGACTCATCCCAAACCATCTCAATTGGGTTGAGGTCGGGGGATTGTGGAGGCCAGGTCATCTGATGCAGCAGTCTATCACTCTCCTTCTTGGTAAAATAGATAATAAAAAATAAAATCACAGACACTGTCACCAGCAAAGCACCCCCATACCATAACACCTCCTCCTTCATGCTTTACGGTGGGAACTACACACGCGGAGATCATCCGTTCACCCACACCACGTCTCACAAAGACACAGCGGTTGGAACCAAAAATCTCACATTTGGACTCCAGACCAAAGGACACATTTCCACCGGTCTAATGTCCATTGCTCGTGTTTCTTGGCCCAAGCAGGTCTCTTCTTCTTATTGGTGTCCTTTAGTAGTGGTTTCTTTGCAGCAATTCGACCATGAAGGCCGGATTCACACAGTCCCCTCCGAACAGTTGATGTTGAGATGTGTCTGTGACTTGAACTCTGTGAAGCATTTATTTGGGCTGCAATTTCTGAGGCTGGTAACTCTAATGAACTTATCCTCTGCAGCAGAGGTAACTCTGGGTCTTCCATTCCTGTGGCGGTCCTCATGAGAGGCAGTTTCATCGTAGCGCTTGATGGTTTTTGCGACTGCATTTGAAGAAACGTTCAAAGTTCTTGAACTTTCCCATATTGACTGACCTTCATGTCTTAAAGTAATGATGGACTGTCGTTTCTCTTTGCTTATTTGAGCTGTTCTTGCCATAATATGGACTTGGTCTTTTACGAAATAGGGCTATCTTCTGTATTCCCCCCTCTACCTTGTCAAAACACAACTGATTGGGTCAAACACATTAAGAAGGAAAGAAATTCCACAAATTAACTTTTAACAAGGCACACCTGTTAATTGAAATGCATTCCAGGTGACTACCTCATGAAGCTGGTTGAGAGAATGCCAAGAGTGTGCAAAGCTGTCATCAAGGCAAAGGGTGGCTATTTTCTGAATCTCAAATATAAAATATATTTTGATTTGTTTAACACCTTTTTGGTTACTACATGATTCCATGTGTTATTTCATAGTTTTGATGTCTTCAATATTATTCTACAATGTAAAAAATAGTAAAAAATACAATAAAATAAAAAACTTGAATGAGTAGGTGTGTCCAAACTTTTGACTGGTACTGTATATTGTTCTTATTATTTAACCAGGAAAAGCCCACTGAGACAGACTCTTTTGCAAGGGAGACCTGGCAGTCAATACAACATTACAAAATAAAAATAAAATACAATAAGCACAACAACAACACGAGCCATCCTACAGGAAACATTTACACTCCTCCTGAACAGAGTCTTGCATCAGAGTTTTAAACTCATTGAGGGACACTAATACATCTAGGTGACGCATTGATTGTAGACTATTCTATGCCTCTGGTGCATTAAGTAGCAACCACCTAGTAGATTGCGCCTGTTAACTGTTAGTGGTAAAGGTTGGTAGGCTACAGATGTAGAGAGGGAGTTTACCCAGAATGGCTTTGTAAATGAACCAATGTAGCTGTCTGCGCATATTACGCGAGGTCCATCCCACCATTTGGTACAAGGTGCAATGGTGGGTGAGTGACTTAGCATTTGTAACAAAGCGTAAAGATGCATTATAAACAGGGTCAAGTCTCTGTAACACAGAAGATGCTGCATGCATATATACAAAAATTCACCATAAACAATTACAGAAAGAAAAGTGGCTTGAACAAGCTTCTTTCTAGCCTCGAATGGGAAGCAAGCCTTATTACGTAAATAAAAAACCAATTTCAGTTTCATCTTCCTCACAAGATAATGCATATGAATTTTGAAGGACAGTTTGTCGTCCAACCATATACCTAGGTATTTGTAGGATTACACTTTTTCAATGGATGTGCCTCCAGATGTGAAAATGCTAACCTTCTCTAGCTGAGAGCGAGCTCTGGCAAAGGTCATGAATTTCGTTTCTTGTGCATTCAAGACCAGTTTGAGACCATATAGGGAGGTCTGCAGTGACTGAAAGGCAGTCTGGAACTCTTCAACAGCATGAACCAGAGAAGGATCTTTTTAATAGATGACCGTGTCATCTGCATACTGATGGAACTTGTCTGGTTGCAGCCCATTTTCCAAGTCATTAATAAAAATTAACAACAACACAGGAGCTAAAATGGAACCCTGAGGGAAAAAAAGTATTTAGTCAGCCACCAATTGTGCAAGTTCTCCCACTTAAAAATATGAGAGAGGCCTGTAATTTTCATCATAGGTACACGTCAACTATGACAGACAAATTGAGATTTTTTTTCTTCAGAAAATCACATTGTAGGATTTTTAATGAATTTATTTGCAAATTATGGTGGAAAATAAGTATTTGGTCACCTACAAACAAGCAAGATTTCTGGCTCTCACAGACCTGTAACTTCTTCTTTAAGAGGCTCCTCTGTCCTCCACTCGTTACCTGTATTAATGGCACCTGTTTGAACTTGTTATCAGTATAAAAGACACCTGTCCACAACCTCAAACAGTCATACTCCAAACTCCACTATGGCCAAGACCAAAGAGCTGTCAAAGGACACCAGAAACAAAATTGTAGACCTGCACCAGGCTGGGAAGACTGAATCTGCAATAGGTAAGCAGCTTGGTTTGAAGAAATCAACTGTGGGAGCATTTATTAGGAAATGGAAGACATACAAGACCACTGATAATCTCCCTCGATCTGGGGCTCCACGCAAGATCTCACCCCGTGGGGTCAAAATGATCACAAGAACGGTGAGCAAAAATCCCAGAACCACACAGGGGGACCTAGTGAATGACCTGCAGAGAGCTGGGACCAAAGTAACAAAGCCTACCATCAGTAACACACTACGCCGCCATGGACTCAAATCCTGCAGTGCCAGACGTGTCCCCCTGCTTAAGCCAGTACATGTCCAGGCCCGTCTGAAGTTTGCTAGAGTGCATTTGGATGATCCAGAAGATGATTGGGAGAATGTCATATGGTCAGATGAAACCAAAATAGAACTTTTTGGTAAAAACTCAACTCGTCGTGTTTGGAGGACAAAGAATGCTGAGTTGCATCCAAAGAACACCATACCTACTGTGAAGCATGGGGGTGGAAACATCATGCTTTGGGGCTGTTTTTCTGCAAAGGGACCAGGACGACTGATCCGTGTAAAGGAAAGAATGAATGGGGCCATGTATCGTGAGATTTTGAGTGAAAACCTCCTTCCATCAGCAAGGGCTTTGAAGATGAAACGTGGCTGGGTCTTTCAGCATGACAATGATCCCAAACACACCGCCCGGGCAACGAAGGAGTGGCTTCGTAAGAAGCATTTCAAGGTCCTGGAGTGGCCTAGCCAGTCTCCAGATCTCAACCCCATAGAAAATCTTTGGAGGGAGTTGAAAGTCCGTGTTGCCCAGTGACAGCCCCAAAACATCACTGCTCTAGAGGAGATCTGCATGGAGGAATGGGCCAAAATACCAGCAACAGTGTGTGAAAACCTTGTGAAGACTTACAGAAAACGTTTGACCTGTGTCATTGCCAACAAAGGGTATATAACAAAGTATTGAGAAACTTTTGTTATTGACCAAATACTTATTTTCCACCATAATTTGCAAATAAATTCATTAAAAATCCTACAATGTGATTTTCTGAAGAAAAAAAATCTCAATTTGTCTGTCATAGTTGACGTGTACCTATGATGAAAATTACAGGCCTCTCTCATATTTTTAAGTGGGAGAACTTGCACAATTGGTGGCTGACTAAATACTTTTTTCCCCCACTGTATGAGGGATAGAGGAAAATAAACAGAGATTGGTAAGGGGAAAGGGAGCACTGAGTGTTGTTTCTCACCTTTGAGGATGCGACCAGCTGTGCCGTGCTGGCAGCGATCTCGTGGGAGCAGACGATGAGCTCCTCATATTTGCCAGTGTGCAGCACCACCTTATCAGCAGACTCACTGTGGGAGAAACCAAGCAAACATCACATCATCATCCCCATCCTCTAACATGTGACATTTCTGTATCACACACAATAACCACACTAGGATAACAAGCTGAGACGACCCTCATGATAATGCACTTACACCATCTGTGTGGCTCCCCATCCCACAGCTTTGGAGGCAGAGATGAGTCCCTCAGTCCAACGGGAGTTCCTGGCGTAGAATTCCTTAATAGTGGCTGCACCCTAGAGAGAGAACATCAAGTCCAACAGTGGTCAGGACGTTCATCTTTCAGCTAATGATAGGATGGATTTACAGTACAACATTTTCCAACATTAAATTTAATAATTCTATATGTCAAGACTCACCCTTCCGCCCTCAACAATCTCCTTCTGTAGGTCGGTGGATGTCAGGACCAGCAGGTGGATAGCCTGATAGACAGAGTGGGATAGAGGAAAGGAGGGTATAGGAGGGAATGCAAAAAAATTAAATAAAACAATCTATAAATAAATGCTGCATTATTAGGATGTCGATCAGACCTTTTGTGTAAGTCAATCGAAACATGAAGTACAAGGCCAGTCATTTTACCTTCATCAGGTCTGTGCAGCTGTAGAGGATTCTATGAAACAAGGAGTAATATCATGGTGAGTTAAAGGGGAGGAATGCATAAACAGTGTAAGTCACACATCTACTACTGACCTCTCATTGACCTCGAGTTTGACCCCCGAGGTGTCCATTCGGGCCTGGTTCATCATTTCCTTTAGATACAGAAAGATGGCAAATGAGAGATGTCTAGATACAGAATTACTTACCCACATAGTAAAACATAGGGTTGAGCTTTATGTGGCATGCCTCGCTACAGTACGGTGCTCTAGAGTCTATATGGTTGTAATCCTCACATCGATTCTGCGCACTGCCTCCTCAATGGCTGCTGACGTGGTTGCCATCTCCTTGTCCACCAGATCTCCCAACTCATCCTGTCGCACATCCATGCCTTTAGGTCGCAGCTCCTAAACATTGGAAGAGGAGATGAGATTAAGAAGTAGGAAAAGAAGAGAGAAATGGAGAAGACTGCCCAGTAGCCCCTCACCTCCCCCAGCCTCAGGATCTTTTGGACCACTATGCGAATGGAGGCCGGGTCTGCCCTCTGAAGGGAGGCCTTGGACTTGAGATCCTTCAGGAACTGCAGACTCTGAGTGGCACAGCCCCTGCAATTCTCTGTCAGACCTGCAGAGTGCAAAAGTGCAAGATACACACTCTGTGACACTGTAATCACATACCAAATGGATTCAATATCTCATCCAGTAAAATCCCAGTAAGATACAACAAGATTTCTGTTTCAAACAGTAATCCATTCTATTTCAAGAGAAGAATGTTCTTACGGTCAGAGTGGTCGGTGGGAGCCAAGTGTGCTGTGGCACTCCCGTTGATTATGGTGTCAGCAGCCAGGTGGGAGAAGTGGGTCAGGGCCCTCAGCAGCCCACCAGCATCTAGAAAACAGAAACACGACCACAGAGGAGAGAGAGAAGGTATCACTGCCAATTCCAACACAGCCCAGCTCTGTCACTCATGACTATCACTGTGGTTGCTCAAAGACTACTAAAGACTACTACAGTATATCAAAAACACTGAGTACCGAGTAATGAGCAACTCACCTCCCATGTTCGTCAGGTAGTCCGAGTGACCTTTTTTCAATTTATCAATGGAGCCCAAAGTGGCCTCTGCCCGACTGACCAGGTAATCTGTGGTGGTGGAGAGACAAAGGAAAAGTTTGAAATGCATTATTTTTCTAGATCCAAAAATAATCAATGGAATGATGAGTAAATATACTGGATGAGTAGATATAAACTGAGATAACTGAATGGATCTCTCACTTTCTATTTTAAGTGACATGAACACCACTACTAGCTAAGGATCCCTAAGCACCCTCTCTGTGAGCCTGTTCACTTATTTTAACCTGGGGAGCTGGTGCAGCGGATGTGCAGGGGGTCGTCCAGCTTGGCCACAGCGTCCTGGATGATGCTCTCAGCCTCAGAGACCGTTCCCTGCAGCAGGGAGAACTGCTCATCCAGCAGCTTCTGCTGCAACTGCACCTCACGTCTAGACTGCAAAGATGCAACGAGACACAGTCATACACAGTCACAGGGAAAAATAGATGGCACAGACATACTAATGGTTTATCTTATATTGTGCACAGACAGCCAAATAGTTAACTGACTCAAGAAAACCTGTCACTTTGCAATGCACAGTCTGAGTAACGGGGGATTTGACCAGCGGTGGAGCTTTTACATGTCTATTTTCTCTTCAGCTATCAGCAAATGATATAGCCATGACAACGTAGCGGACTGAACTAGTCACTGCTCTGTGCTGTCCTGACTTACCTTCTCCTGCAGCTTGCCCTGCAGCTCTCCCATCTCCCTGGTGCTCCGCTCTCTCTCCTGCTGCAGAGTAGACTGCTGCAGCTGTGCAGCCTGGCTCAGGAATGACAGCTCGACCTCCTTCTCACTCGCAGAGCGCATCAGGCGCTCTTTCTCCGCCTGCAGCGCCAACATGGAGCTGGTCAGCTGTTCCCCCACCTGGGAGAGAGGGTGATGGAGGGAGGAGAGAGGGAATTATGGAGGGAGGAGAGCGAGGGAGGAGAGAGGGAATGATGGAGGGAGGAGAGCGAGGGAGAAGAGAGGGAGTGATGGAGGGAGGAGAGCGAGGGAGGAGAGGGAGTGATGGAGGAGAGCGAGGGAGGAGAGAGGGAGTGGGGGATGGAGGGAGGAGAGCGAGGGAGGAGGAGAGGGAGCGGTGGATGAGGAGGGGAAGGGGAGGGATGAGGAGGGGACGAGGATGAGGGGAGGAGAGGAGGGAGAGTGGAGGGGGAGGGAGAGAGGGAGGGGAAGGGAGGGACGGGAGGAGGATGAGGAGGAGAGCGAGGTTGAGGAGGAGAGGGAGGGAGGAGGAGACGTGGAGGGAGGAGGAGGGAGGGGGAGGTAGGAGGGAGGGAGGAGAGGGAGTGATGGAGAGAGGAGAGAGGGAGTGATTGAGGGAGGAGAGAGAGGGAGGAGAGAGGGAGTGATGGAGAGAAGAGACAGAAAGAGGGAGATCACATAACAATAGGTACATTAACTTTTGTGAGGAAAAGCCTTTTCTGATGTTTGTGAGACTTTCATATGTTATTACACTCATTTCCTCACTCACACACAGTGCAGGTTCCTATGGGCTTTTCAGCTAATTATGATTTACATGAGAGGAAAGTGGGGCAATTATTTTGTATGAGGGTGAATCAGATGAGTCACCTATGCCATTACATAGGCGAGGGAATCCACTTTCTTTATTCAATATTTACTACATCAGCACACACACCTTCTCGTTGTGCTGCAGAGTGCCATTGACATGTTCCACCTCAGCCCTCTTCTCCTCAAAATCCCTTTTAAGCTTCTTCATCTCAAACTTCTGCTCCTCAAGCTAAAACAATAAGAAATAATATTCAGTCATTTTGATAAATGGCTAATACAGTACTGAAATATAACATTAACGGTACTGGATCACTATTGCCAATACTCAGAATAACAGTAACCTTCATGTCAGCGTCCAGTTTGATGCGCTCCACCTCGAAAGCAAGCTGCTGCTTGGTCCTCACCACCTCTTCCTGGGTCTGCTGTGTTGCCGACAGCATCTTCACTGTGTCTGCACTCTGCCAGCAAAATATCACATGCACACTTTGTCAAACATACTATTAACATTAGACAGACAAATAGTGCTCAGGTGAGTCTACAAGTCGTTACTTATGCACTTATGTACCCAATCAACCAAAGAGAAAACCACAGAATGACAACAGAGGTAAGTGAGGTTCTGTACCTTCCTGAGCAGTTCAGCATGGCTGGACACCAGCTCAGTGTGCTTCTCCTTCAGCTTGGTGTAGCGCTGCTCTGTGGCCTGGGCTCTTGCTGGACAGTACAGAGGGGGTCAGAGACAAGAAAGAGAGATGTCAGTATGCGTGTTCAAGACAGTGTGACTGAACGTGTATGCCAGACTTAGTGAGTGGCCTCTTACTCTCTGCCTCTCCGAAGGTGGCCTGCACGCTCTCATGTTCAGCGTTGCGGCGCCGCGTGGCCTCCAGCTCCATGCGCAGCTGTTCATTCTCCACCAGGGCGTGCTGTTTCTGCACCCGTTGCTCCTCCAGCTCCGCCTCAAGACTGTTAATCTGGGATTTGAGCTGCGTGACGTAGCGCTGGGCCTGCAGGAGGAGGGAGCAGGCAAGCAGACAGTCAGTCACCATAGTAAACCTCCCCTGGATAGATTATCAAGTACCACCACAGGACACCATCACATGGCACTAGTGGATGAGAGCCTCAGATAGGGGAAACAAGAGTGTTGAGTGGTACAAAAAAATTCTGAAATGTTTCAATGTTGGGTTAGGATGGATTGATTCAATATCACAATTAAAAGTAATAGCATCATAGTTAACTACTGTAACCTAAAAATATACAAATGCTGAGTAGTGAAACAGGCAACATAAGGAGCCAGCCATGTGCAGAAACCAGGGTCAACGGTAAATGTATATCTCCCCCAGGCACACCTTCTGGCCTTCTCTGACCACAGACAGACATAATTTCCCATTCTGAGACTAGCTGCCACATTCCACATGTCAAGGTCAGTCTTTGCATCCACCTAACACATTACATAAATTCCTTTCCCCTTTACACATAAACAATGTCCACCACTGTCACAACTTTGTTATACATTGTTAACAAGCATAATTAACATTTAAATATACTGAACAAAAATATAAACGCAACATGCAACAATTTAAACGATTTTACTGAGTTACAGTTCATAAGGAAATCAGTCAATTTAAATAAATTCATTAGGCCCTAATCTATGGATTTCAAATAACTGGGAATACAGATATGCATCTGTTGGTCACAGATACCTTAAAAAAAAAAAAAGTAGGGGTGTGGTTTAGAAAACCAGTCAGTATCTGGTGTGACCACCATTTGCCTCAAGCAGCGCGACATCTCCTTCGCATAGAGTTGATCAGGCTGTTGATTGTGGCCTCTCGAATGTTGTCCCACTCCTCTTCAATGGCTGTGCAAAGTTGCTGGATATTGTCGGGAACTGGAACACGCTGACGTACACGTCGATCCAGAGCATCCCAAACATGCTCAATGGGTGACATATCTGGTGAGTATGCAGGCCATGGAACAACTGGGACATCTTCAGCTTCCAGGAATTGTGTACAGATCCTTGCAACATGGGGCCGTGCATTATCATGCTGAAACATGAGGTGATGGCGGCGGATTAATGGCATGACAATGGGCCTCAAGAGCTCGTCACGGTATATCTGCGCATTCAAAATTGCCATCGATTAAAACGCAATTGTGTTCGTTGTCCGTAGCTTACGCCTGCCCATACCACAACCCCGCCGCCACCATGGTGCACTCTGAACAATGTTGACATCAGCAAACCGCTGGCACGCACGACCCCATACGCTCTCTGCCATCTGGCCCACACAACACCATACACGCTGTCTGCCATCTGCCCGGTACAGTTGAAACCAGGATTAATCCGTGAAGAGCACATCTTCGGATGTGCAAACCCACAGTTTCATCAGCTGCCCGGGTGGCTGGTCTCAGACGATCCCGCAGGTGAAGAAGCCAGATGTGGACGTCATGGGCTGACGTGGTTACACGTGGTCTGACGCACTGCCAAATTCTCTAAAATAACGTTGGACGTGGCTTATGGTAGAGAAATGAACATTAAATTCTCTGGCAGCAGCTCTGGCGGACATTCCTGCAGTCAGCATGCCAGTTGTACGCTCCCGCAAAACTTGAGACATCTGTGGCATTGTGTTTTGTGAGAAAACGGCACATTTGTGGCCTTTTATTGTCCCCAGCACAAGGTGCACCTGTGTAATGATCATGCCGTTTAATCCGTTTCTTGATTTGCCACACCTGTCAGGTGGATGAATTATCTTGGCAAAGGAGAAATGCTCACTAACAGGGATGTAAACAATTTGTGCATAACATCTGATAAAAATAAGCTTTTTATGCATATGGAACATTTCTGGGATATTTTATTTCAGCTCATGAAACATTGGACCAACAATTCACATGTTGCTTTTATATTTTTGTTCAGTGTAGTATTATTACAAAGAGGAACAATAGAAATGTTTGTGGTCATACGCACATCCTTAAAAAAACATAGGTGCTGGGCTAAAGACTGAATATGCTCCCAATTTACCACCTTTATTGACAATGTTTCGATCCAACATGGCTCTTCGTCAGGTAATTTATTATTGCGACTAGTTATGACAAGCATTTAATCAACAAATGTGTACAGCAACTGTAAAATATTTTTAAAAGAGTTAAAACTCATGTCTACTAACCTCTCCCTTGACCCTTTCCAGATCTGCCCTCAATAACTCCAAGTCCTGCTGGAGGTTCTCAATTTGGATATTCCTGTAGACCAGAAGACATAGTCACTAACCGTTAGCATACATACACACTGGCACACTCACAAGAAAATACCCGAACATATGTCTGTTTTAAAAAAAATCACCAGGGGAGTTCTACAAGGGTTCTGTTTGCAGCAAACATGTTACTTAGTAACAATTTCAGATGAATAATTTGAATGAACTTTCCAAAATGTTACGGTGAAACATCAAACAGCTACTTTTTGTAAGGATTACCGTGGATTTTGGTGGCAATAATCAAACTGCAAATTACTTTGCTATTCCTACTACATGTAATGGAAAGCCTACATGGCCACATTATTATCTGTAGTGGCAGTTAAGACCCGAAACAGACACTTACGTTCGCCACACACTACTTTCTCAGACTTCCGCTAACGTTAGCGAATGGTCGCGGCTAACACAAAACAAATATGTTAGCTAACCATTTCCCTTGTTGAACGCACCTCAGTTTACATACCATTTATTTTCAAGCACAACAAATGCTAAAAAAATGACAATGACTAACCTGTCATCAAAACCACCATTGGCGGGTCCGAAGGTCTGATCAAAAATGTCAAACCGCTAAAAGAAAAGTCAAAGACGCATTAATGTTTATACAATCTATAGCCCAAATTAGTGATACCTTTATTATTAAGACATGCATATCCAAGGGGCCATAGCTGTAACCTCGGAGATCATGACCTTGTGACCCATGAGTCGTACCTGTGGCACCATCATGCTGGGCATGGTGACATCGCTGACATTGATAAGCGGTTCAGGGTCATCATCGTCGTCATCATCCTGCTGCTCGGGCTCATCCTCGTCTGGGATGACCACCACCGGCCTCGCATGCTTGGCCAGGGAGGCCGCGTGCAGGAAGTTAGGAGGGGACTGGGGATGAACACACACAAATAAGACAGAGGACTGTAAACACAGATGGATACATTATCTAGGAAGTGTGGTTGCGTCCCAATACAGTATCTTTCCCCTACTATGTCTGTCTATGCTCTCACTTCTGGCAGCTTGGGGATCTGGATGAGTCTCTTGAAGTACAACATGTCTCTGGCTTTGTTGAAGAAGGTCTTGAGGCTGTAAGGCAAGGCACAATATTTCAACCACTGATCTGAATGATGCCTCCAAAACAAGAATATAACATTTTCTAAACTGTATTGTTTCATATATGTGTATAGGACAGAATGCAATAGAATACACTTCATTGATCTGAAGAGAAATTAGTTGGTCATCTTAGTATTCCAAGGTACCCACTATCCAGAGGCACTAACACATCAAGCTTCCTCTCTGCCATCTTTCTGGGCTGATCGTTGTGCAGGTCGATAACATTAACATGTCACCTGGTCCACTGTTCAGATTCAACCCTTTTTCACTTTCCGAGGCTCCCTCCCTCCCTCCTTTTCTTCCCTAACGCCCTCATTTAATAACAGCCTGAGGCCCTGGGTGACTTACCTGTGGAACTGGTCATGAAAACGATCACGGTGTCCTTGCAAGGTGTCTGCTGGGAGACCTGAAATCCAGGACATGCAAGAGACAGTCACTAAAAAGACTTTGAAATAAGTTTTTTGTAATCAAGTCACCAAAGCATAGTTTGCAGCAAGTAGAAATACTAAACTACTATTAAGCATAATTTGCATGATATCACAACAAACATACTGATTTGTGATCTCCAGTTATTTTCCTCTCATTGATGTTACAGTACATGTTGAAAAATATAATCAAGCAGTTAAGTTAAAGTGGAACTGACAGGCATTTTAACTACTTTGCCGATATGAAACAAACAGACAATCATAATATCAGTCAAAAATATCAAATTCCCAGTCTATGCTTCAAAACCAACTTAATAAAAGAGATTGTAAAAATAGGTTATATTTGACTCAAAATACCATGATGCACAGTGAGGCATTTTTGTCAGAATAGATGGATGCAGTTAAATGCATGATTAATATAATAATTCACCAATACATTTCTTGGTAGTCCCACCAGAAAATATTGATATCAGTTGTGAAATCAGAGCTGGCCTGGTACATTGTTTGCTGCCGCCACCCAATCGGGATGCACTGTTTCAGTTAATTTATTTAGCAAGCTAAAGACATGCAGCCTAACGTTAGCTAGCTAGCTGCTGGGAGGACTTCATGTCACTGAAGGAGTGGCCAACTTTTTTTTGTTGGCTACAGCTATACTCATCGACGGGGCTGTAGTGGAACAGGTTGAGAGCTAAAGTTCCTTGGTGTCCAAACACACCAAGACAGTCGTGAAGAGGGCACGACAAAGCCTATTCCTGTAAAGCCCAGCTCTGTGGAGTGTACGGCTTAAAGTGGTCCTATGGACAGATACTCCAATCTCCGCTGTGGAGCTTTGCAGCTCCTTCAGGGTTATCTTTGGTCTCTTTGTTGCCTCTCTGATTAATGCCCTCCTTGCCTGGTCTGTGAGTTTTGGTGGGCGGCCCTCTCTCGGCAGGTTTGTTGTGGTGCCATATTCTTTCCATTTTTTAATAATGGATTTAATGGTGCTCGGTGGGATGTTCAAAGTTTCAGATATATTTTTATAACCCAACCCTGATCTGTACTTCTCCACAACTTTGTCCCTGACCTGTTTGGAGAGCTCCTTGGTCTTCATGGTGCCGCTTGCTTGGTGGTGCCCCTTGCTTAGTGGTGTTGCAGACTCTGGGGCCTTTCAGAACAGGTGTATATATACACTGAGATCATGTGACAGATCATGTGACACTTGCACACAGGTGGACTTTATTTAACTAATTATGTGACTTCTGAAGGTAATTGGTTGCACCAGATCTTATTTAGGGGCTTCATAGCAAAGGGGGTGAATACATATGCACGCACCACTTTTCCGTTATTTATTCTTTAGAATTTTTTTTAACAAGTTATTTTTTTTATTTCACTTCACCAATTTGGACTATTTTGTGTATGTCCATTACATGAAATCCAAATATAAATCCATTTAAATGACAGGTTGTAATGCAACAAAATAGGAAAAATGCCAAGGGGGATGAATACTTTTGCAAGGCACTGTACATTTTGTCAAGGCGGAGATGAGTGGCCGAGACCCGAGGCGCGCGTGGACAACAGTGGACACACCAATTCAGGCTACAAGTGTAGGCCTAATGACAAGGCCTAATGACAAGGCCTAATGACAAGGCCTAATGACAAGGCCTAATGACAATCGCAGAATGTCATTACAATGCACGTAGGTGTTTTGTAACAGATGTCTCTTTCCATTCATCAAATTTCAGGTGCACAGTGCACTGTTGGGGTTTGGATGCTGAAATTATTTTGTGAGTGGACAAATGTGTGCAGGTAGCCTACAGGAGTGCCTTTGTTAAGTGATTGTTTGACAATCAGATGAAAACATCATGACTGGTTGTGTTTATGCCACATTAAAAAGGTATAGACGGCATGTCCATAAGGCTAAGGGTATTTAAGCTTTCTCTAAAGTAAATTTAATTTAATTAAATTGCCAAAATTATATAGCCTAATTAGCTTACTCCTTCCTGTCTATACATAAATAAAATCATTCAAAATAGGCTACTACACCAGAAAGCATGATTTGGCCACAGAGGATAATTAAATATTCTTTTTTTTAAAGCTGTGGATTGTTTTAAATCGCATAGCCTACTGTCGGAAGGGCCCGCAATTTGGTGGCACGCGCTGCAAATACTAAACAGATGTTTGTTTTGTTGCGACTGTCAGTGTAAAGCAGAGAGACCCAGCCAGGCATATCGCAATATTTAAAAATACAAATCGCGGAAAAACTGTTCGGAAAGCAAATGGCTATTGCTGTAAAGAGATGACAATGAGATGACTCCAGTCTGTATTTTAGATACCAAAATGCTTTACTTCATTGAGCTAACAGTAGCCTTTCTTATTGGCACAAGCGGAGAACATCGGCCATTTCCCCGGTGAGTGTGCATATTCACTGTCTTTATCATTGGGTCATAGCCACTTTGTGTTTGTTTTTGGACAATAATTTCCTCCTCCAGGTTAGATGGCCGTCATATTGTATTTGTGTCTCCCCTTTTCGTAGGCCAATTATATGGATCAGAAATTGTTTTTATTGATCCGTGTGTCAGCAGAGTAGGCTACCTGTACATTTTGTAGTATTAAAAAAAAATGCGTGCGCGCAGTTGGGTGTCCGGTACGGGTAAGAAATGTAATGTACTTTCACCCCTGGTTGGGACAAGAATGCATTGGCAGGCAAGCTGCAGAAGGACGAGCAAGCTACTGTTCCCCAGCGTTTATCAGTGCAATTTTGACAGCCAACTAGATGAAAAAGTTTGAGAGTTTATCTAATGTTCCCTCATTAGATTTTAGCTCATCTCACTCTGGCTAGCATTAGTTGTTGATCTAGTTGTTTTTGATGTGCATGGGCAACTGAGGGAGAGAGAGCCTACCTTTGCATGGTTGTTTCATCGATAGGATTGTGATGTTCCCAAATGTCAGAGGACTCCCGTGGTATTTACATATTTGCAGAAATCCATTCAGGTGTATTTTATGGCTTTTGGCAAATGCGTTCGTTCTAATGATCTAATGTCATGCTGTTGCTACTGCCTGTAAACACAAGGTCCAGGTCAAAGTGAATTATGGCAGGCCTGTGTGGCAAATTGATTATTTGCATATAGGCCTACTGTAGCTCGGATTTGCTATGGCGCACTGGTCTGCTTAGACTCGGGTCATGGACAGGACAGATGTTTTTATTTGGTTTTATTTACTGCAGTGTCTATTAATTGTCCAAACGCACAGCCACTTTCCCACTCTATATTGCTATAGAATTGTCAATAATGCCTTACAATACGACATTCCCAAACATTCTATGAATTTATGAAAACGTGAAAATGACCATATCTAAGTGCTCGCTTGTCAAAAAATGTAAAAAAAAAAACTAAAAAAGGTGTTATTCTTCCTGGGGGTGATTATCAACAGATTTTAATAAGATTTAAATGTTGCTAAAATGCTGTCAGTTCCACTTTAAAGATGCATAAGAGGTCCAACGTACAGGCATGCAGCTTGAAAAGCAGCTTGACGGTGAAGTGGTAGAGGTGACTGCAGTCCTGGATGACCTGGATGAGGGGGGACAGACGACACTGGCCTGACGTTGTGGTAGAGATGGCAATGGACGTGTTGAGCTGCCGGATCACTGCAGATCACAGAAACACACCAATGTAGAAAAAACGAACATAACACATCCACACAATAAAGAAACACATGGCCTCAATTGGCAGGATTTGGTATCGATAGCTTGCCTGGGTGAAACACCTTTCTCTGTCACTGGTTCAGAAATACAACACTGAGACAATGGCTCACACATTCATGAATCACCCACTATGAGTGGGTGGAAAACAGTTCTCAGCAGATCTAGCACTAGTGTGGGTAGAAAGAAGAAGGCAGTTAGGAGCTCCCATGTTTCCCGAGTACAAGATGCAAGATGCCCAGTTAGTAAGTCAGGCAGGCAGGCAGGGTTGTTTACAGTTGCAGGGTTTGTTTATGGTTGTTCAGGATGACAGGCTGTGACAACATCCTACAGGGCATGATGCCATTACTGCCAATCAGAAGAAACACAATGAATGTCCTCTAATTGCAAACATTTAGAACCTATTCATATGGATTTGGTGAAATGACATATGAGGGCCCTAATCATATTAAACAGGTGGTTTAGAAATGTGTTTAATTTACACAAGGTAAACATCCCTTGATAAAGTGTAGTCATTTTGGGCGATTAAGTCACTCCCTCAACAGCAGCACAAGTGTGTGCTCACAAGTCTATATTTAACTGGCTGCTATCCAGTCCCTATTCCATTTCCGAAACACAAACAGTTGATGGAAACAGACCACTGCCCTGTAGCTCAGGTTACCCATCCTTTGAGAGGTGGAGGTAGGTAGGTAAGTAGGAGAGAAGCGGGGGATTCTCACCTGTCTCAGCTAGCCTCAACTCTGCATCCAGGTAATCAAACACTTTCACAGTGAGCTGGAACCTACAGGAGGGAAGTCGATACCGCCCTTAGTAACACAATGCTAATGGCTTCCTTAAGAAAGGAAAGAGCAGCAGGCTCGCTCCCCAGTCCCCACAGTTCTCCAACTAAATGGTATGATAGCGTCCTTTGAATCAGAGAGCATGACATTTGTATTTTATATCAATAATTGACTTCCCTTGAGTTATGCCAATCAAATGTATATGCATTTGTGTGATGTCTCTGTATGATATTCTGATAACTCAATTACAGGAGAGGGAGTGCACAGTCAAGAGTGCCAGGGATGTGTGGAGACTGGAGAGGGAGGAGAACACACTCACACATTATTGACGTCTGTTCCTGCAACACGCTCCAGAACCTCATCTGTCACCTCTAGGTTGGATCGGATTTCAGAATGCTGCATGGAAGACAAAAGGATGGCAAAAGTGAGCCAACAATTCTTGAACAATATTTTTCAAGGATGGGACAACATTAGAAATATCTAATGATCTCATATCTAATCATATCAATTCAAATGACATACATTGTTTGTTCAACTAGGTGGCATTTTGTGAAAGCACTTGTCGCAATCCAATGCATAAAATGGTAAGATTAGCCAATATCCCATCACGGTAAAACATGCCGTCCCCCAACACTGTAGAGGGTGCTCTTACCTTCATGTGAAACTCCATCTTTGTGCAGAGGAGCTTAGAGTACAGAGCCACCAGCTGTCCATATTTGTCATGAAGGTTGCCCTGGAAAAAATAGGAGCAAGCAACAAGCATTACTCTTTGCTGCAACAAACATTAAGCTTGGCTTTATTTGAAGATGGCAAGAAAAAGCCTTTCCTTTCTACCCACTCCTCTCTTAAAAACATTCTCCGGTACTTTGGCGACTAGTAAGTATTTTTTAAATCTCACACTTTGGGCTGGATGTGTCAATGTGTAGTTCATACATGCATAATCTATTAACAGAATTACTGTCTTAAATACTGCCTCAATTAGCCATGAAATCCCTAGTTTGAAAGCAACTGTTTTCTGGAAGCTGGGCTATGCCATTTTCCCTACATTTCCCCCCACGTGGGCCAGCCCCTAACAATTGGGGTTCAAGCCAATGAGATTCAGCCCCTCGCCATTTGAGTGACAGCCAGCAAGAACCACACAGCAGAGCGAGAGAGCAATGACATGGTGCACATATCTGCACATATGTGATTTAGTACGCAAATCTCGGGGACCACTTTTGGCTCGTGGGTGCTACTTTCAGAACTACTGGCTAAAAAGTATACAAAAGTACTGGAGAATCTCTAACTGCAGCAGACAGAGATTAACTCTGGCTGCACAGGAAGTACAATTACTGTATGAGGGGGAAAAGAAGATGTTTGAAAATAGGTTTTCAAAACATCTGCATTTTTAACTAAACTTAAAAATTAAAGCAAGGGAAGTTTCCCCATTTTAAGTAATCTGACATTCAATTTCTTCGCCCAAAATGTCATCAACCTATTCAAGCACCCCTCGACAAAAACATAGCACAGCACAATTGCCAGACTCACCCATAGTTGCCCCATCTCAACTATGCTACTGTGATGTCTCATGCAGTCCTGAAGGCTCTGGAGGGAAAAAGGGGGAGTGATAATGTCAATTCAATAATAGTACTGAAACTCAATAATGTTCAAATAAGCAATTATAGAAGATAATACAACTGGACTAATTAAGGCCACGGAGGTCAGCATAAAAAACAGAATGCTTAATTAATACACAGTCTGTATGAGTTTGAGAGCTCTGCTCAAAGCAATACTGCGTTATTTTTTATGTAGGCTACCAATTAGGCAGGAATTTAATCTAAGGCCTGTTTTTTCCACCTGCACATGTACAGTGGGGAGAACAAGTATTTGATACACTGCCGATTTTGCAGGTTTTCCTACTTACAAAGCATGTAGAGGTTTGTAATTTTTATCATAGGTACACTTCAACTGTGAGAGACGGAATCTAAAACAAAAATCCAGAAAATCACATTGTATGATTTTTAAGTAATTAATTTGCATTTTATTGCATAACATAAGTATTTGATCACCTACCAACCAGTAAGAATTCCGGCTCTCACAGACCTGTTAGTTTTTCTTTAAGAAGCCCTCCTGTTCTCCACTCATTACCTGTATTAACTGCACCTGTTTGAACTCGTTACCTGTATAAAAGACACCTGTCCACACACTCAATCAAAACAGACTCCAACCTCTCCACAATGGCCAAGACCAGAGAGCTGTGTAAGGACATCAGGGATAAAATTGTAGACCTGCACAAGGCTGGGATGGGCTACAGGACAATAGGCAATCAGCTTGGTGAGAAGGCAACAACTGTTGGCGCAATTATTAGAAAATGGAAGAAGTTCAAGATGACGGTCAATCACCCTCGGTCTGGGGCGCCATGCAAGATCTCACCTCGTGGGGTATCAATGATCATGAGGAAGGTGAGGGATCAGCCCAGAACTACACGGCAGGACCTGGTCAATGACCTGAAGAGAGCTGGGACCACAGTCTCAAAGAAAACCATTAGTAACACACTACGCCGTCATGGATTAAAATCCTGCAGCGCATGCAAGGTCCCTCTGCTCAAGCCAGCGCATGTCCAGGCCCGTCTGAAGTTTACCAATGACCATCTGGATGATCCAGAGGAGGAATGGGAGAAGGTCATGTGGTCTGATAAGACAAAAATAGAGCTTTTTGGTCTAAACTCCACTCGCCGTGTTTGGAGGAAGAAGGATGAGTACAACCCCAAGAACACCATCCCAACCGTGAAGCATGGAGGTGGAAACATCATTCTTTTGGGATGCTTTTCTGCAAAGGGGACAAGACGACTGCACCGTATTGAGGGGAGGATGGATGGGGCCATGTATCGCGAGATCTTGGCCAACAACCTCCTTCCCTCAGTAAGAGCATTGAAGATGGGTCGTGGCTGGGTCTTCCAGCATGACAACGACCCGAAACACACAGCCAGGGCAACTTAAGGAGTGGCTCTGTAAGAAGCATCTCAAGGTCCTGGAGTGGCCTAGCCAGTCTCCAGACCTGAACCCAATAGAAAATCTTTGGAGGGAGCTGAAAGTCCGTATTGCCCAGCAACAGCCCCGAAACCTGAAGGATCTGGAGAAGGTCTGTATGGAGTGGGCCAAAATCCCTTCTGCAGTGTGTGCAAACCTGGTCAAGACCTACAGGAAACGTATGATCTCTGTAATTGCAAACAAAGGTTTCTGTACCAAATATTAAGTTCTGCTTTTCTGATGTATCAAATACTTATGTCATGCAATAAAATGCAAATTAATTACTTAAAAATCATACAATAGTGTACCTATGATAAAAATTACAGACCTCTACATGCTTTGTAAGTAGGAAAACCTGCAAAATCGGCAGTGTATCAAATACTTGTTCTCCCCACTGTATGTTCCTTTTCTCTCTCTACATTTTTTTATTGTATGTATTTGATTATGTGGAAATAAAAACCCTAATACAGAGTAGAGTGTATAGAGCGGAGAGCATGTTTTACGTTATGGTGGCCGTCCCGCAGCACTTTGTGAAGCACATGGCAGAACTTCCAGCTGAGGATGGAGTTTCTGGACAAAGGGAGGCCCAAGGCGTAGGACCAGAAGGTAAAGGCCCCCTTTTCCCTGTGGGTCCCCAGAATTATCCCTGTAGGGGCCGTCAAGGAAGACCAGCAAAATACAAAGCCAAAACAATACCTTCACTCGGTCCCTCACATATTCTTTTACTTTCTCTTCCTCTCATGTGCGATGGAGACCGTAATAAAAATCACACAATTTCAACACCTCTATCTTACTACATTACCTAAAACAAAACACAGTTTAAGAGATTAATGTATACTTAACACTAAATCATCACAGGAGCATAAAATACATTGTACATTGTTGCGAGTTAGCAAGTAAGCATTTCACTGTACCGTTTGCACGTGACCAATAAACTTTGATAATAAGCATTGTTGCCATAGATACATTTAGCAGTAAAATATCCTGGGTGAATTCTAAGTTGAAGATAACAAAGGTTAAGACAACTTATAAAATGGGCGGTTCGAGCCCTGAATGCTGATTGGCTGACAGCCGTGGTATATCTGACCAAATACCACGGGTATGTCAAAACATTTATTTTTACTGCTCTAATTACGTTGGTAACCAGTTTATAATAGCAATAAGGCACCTCTGGGTTTGTGGTATATGGCCAATATCCCACGGCTAAGGGCTGTGTCCAGGCACTCCGCGATGCGTCGTGCATAAGAACAGTCCTTAGACGTGGTATGTTGCCATATACCACACCCCCTCGTGCCTTATTGCTTAATTATAAAATGGCATTGTTGAATACTAATTTCTGATTGGCTTGAACGGCATTCTAGAGCGTGCATTATTTCCCTATAGCGCACAGTATATCAGCATGGTAAAATTCAATGGCTATATACTCAGGACTCTATGCGTTCTCTGGAAAATAATGCAACTCCGTGGGAGGTTAGTTCCACTCCGCTAGCGCGTTGTGGAACACACCTTCCACGTCGTTCATTATTGTCCATAGAACACATAGCCCCTCATTGATTATCCCTTATGTAATAATTCCATGCAGAAGCGTTCGAAAATAAACGAATTCACTGAACCAGCACCAGAGCGAAAATGACAGAATGAATGGTAGCAGTACAGAAACTTCGCCATCAAAGTGGAAAATAAATACAATCGTAGTGAATTTCAGCTAACTACAACAGAAAAACTGTTTTACTGTCATTCTATTCATTTAAACTTTATTCAAATGATCTACAGCCACTTTATTAATTGATTTTCCGACCGCTAGTCACATTTTCACTGCTAATCCTGTAGAATCAGCAACAGCACTGGTCCAATGAATGTGTTTATTTTCAAACGCTCCGCATGGCATTATTTCGTTGTCTTAAACTACATTATTTTTATCCTAGGATGGATGTATAGCCTACATGATGGCAAATGTCAGCTCTAAAAACCAAATTACCTTTACAGAACACCACATGATTACATTGTATATCAAACAGGGTTGGGGTTCTACAGCATAACTCCCCAGTGGTTAAAAACAGCCCAGTTGTTCGGCACAGTGGGTTATCAGGCATACAAAGTTTGGAGCACATAATAGCAAAAAGGTTTACTGTTCCCAGTTTGGGGTTATATTGAAGGATACGGCGTGCATGTTTCTCTTTCACAGGCGCCTCGTTGGAGTTGATGGCTTTGCTGATGCTGCTGAGCTGGGAGAGGAGAGAGAGGACGGGTTGAGGCCATCAGTCACTATGGCTACTGAACTACCACTCAACAGTGACAAAAAGCATATTTAAAAAGGGATACTTCAGGATTTTCACAATGAGGCCATGTATCTACTTCCCCAGAGTCAGATGAACTCATGGATACCATTTATATGCTTCTGTGTCCAGTATGAAGGAAGGAAGTTAGAGGTAGTTTCGCGAGCTAATGCTAACTTGCTTTAGCGCAATGACTGGAAGTTTATAGGTATCTGCTAGCATGCTTCCCATAACACTTAGCAACGGAGGTTGCTTATCAGTCCCCCTCCCACCTATCCATCCCTTGAGTCTCCCCTTACATTGAATATTTAAAATCAAGCACTTCGAATACCCCAGAAGCATTTAACTGTAGGGCACTTCCACATCATATGAAGGAATGTGCCTACCTGATTTAGGGGACACAGCGAACAGTTGGTGCCAATTTCATAGTAAAAACATTTCCTTGGCACTAAATACAATCTGTGAACAGACTTAAAATTTATAAATTGATGGTTCGGATTACGGGATGCCAAGGTTATATTTTCCCATATTCTGTTCTAGTTAAAGGGTTGATCAAATTCAATTACACTACTGTTCAAAAGTTTGGGGTCACTTAGAAATGTCCTTGTTTTCGAAAGAAAAGCAATTTTTTTGTCCATTAAAATAATATCAAATTGATCAGAAATACAGTGTAGACATTGTTCATGTTGTAAATGGCTATTGTAGCTGGAAACTGCAGATTTTTAATGGAATATCTACATAGGTACAGAGGCCCATTATCAGCAACCATCAGTCCTGTGTTCCAATGGCACGTTGTGTTTCCTAATCCAAGTTTATCATTTTAAAAGTCTAATTGATCATTAGAATACCCTTTTGCAATTATGTTAGCACAGCTGAAAACTGTTGTGCTGATTAAAGGAGCAATAAAACTGGCCTTCTTGAGACTAGTTGAGTAGCTGGAGCATCAGCAATTGTGGGTTCGATTACAGGATCAAAATGGCCAGAAACAAATAACTTTCTTCTGAAACTCGTCAGTCTATTCGTGTTCTGAGAAATGAAGGCTATTCCATGCGAGAAATTACCAAGAAGCTGAAGATCTCGTACAACGCTGTGTACTACTCCCTTCACAGAACAGCACAAACTGGCTCTAACCAGAATAGAAAGAGGAGTGGGAGGCCCAGGTGCACAACTGAGCAAGAGGACAAATACATTAGAGTGTCTAGTTTGAGAAACAGACGCCTTACAGGTCCTCAACTGGCAACTTCATTAAATAGTACCCGCAAAACACCAGTCTCAATGTCAACAGTGAAGAGGCGACTCCGGGATGCTGAACTTCTAGACAGAGTTGTAAAGAAAAAGCCATACAGTGGGGGAAAAAAGTATTTAGTCAGCCACCAATTGTGCAAGTTCTCCCACTTAAAAAGGTACACGTCAACTATGACAGACAAATTGAGAAAAAAATTCCAGAAAATCACATTGTAGGATTTTTAATGAATTTATTTGCAAATTATGGTGGAAAATAAGTATTTGGTCACCTACAAACAAGCAAGATTTCTGGCTCTCACAGACCTGTAACTTCTTCTTTAAGAGGCTCCTCTGTCCTCCACTCGTTACCTGTATTAATGGCACCTGTTTGAACTTGTTATCAGTATAAAATACACCTGTCCACAACCTCAAACAGTCACACTCCAAACTCCACTATGGCCAAGACCAAAAAGCTGTCAAAGGACACCAGAAACAAAATTGTAGACCTGCACCAGGCTGGGAAGACTGAATCTGCAATAGGTAAGCAGCTTGGTTTGAAGAAATCAACTGTGGGAGCAATTATTAGGAAATGGAAGACATACAAGACCACTGATAATCTCCCTCGATCTGGGGCTCCACGCAAGATCTCACCCCGTGGGGTCGAAATGATCACAAGCAAAAATCCCAGAACCACACGGGGGGACCTAGTGAATGACCTGCAGAGAGCTGGGACCAAAGTAACAAAGCCTACCATCAGTAACACACTACGCCGCCAGGGACTCAAATCCTGCAGTGACAGACGTGTCCCCCTGCTTAAGCCAGTACATGTCCAGGCCCGTCTGAAGTTTGCTAGAGTGCATGTGGATGATCCAGAAGAGGATTGGGAGAATGTCATATGGTCAGATGAAACCAAAATATAACTTTTTGGTAAAAACTCAACTCGTCGTGTTTGGAGGACAAAGAATGCTGAGTTGCATCCAAAGAACACATTTTACATTTACATTACATTTTTAGTCATTTAGCAGACGCTCTTATCCAGAGCGACTTACAGGAGCAATTAGGGTTAAGTGCCTTGCTCAAGGGCACATCGACAGATTTTTCACCTAGTCGGCTCGGGGATTAGAACCAGCGACCTTTCGGTTACTGGCACAACGCTCTTAAGCACTAAGCTACCTGCCGCCTATACCTACTGTGAAGCATGGGGGTGGAAACATCATGCTTTGGGGCTGTTTTTCTGCAAAGGGACCAGGACGACTGATCCGTGTAAAGGAAAGAATGAATGGGGCCATGTATCGTGAGATTTTGAGTGAAAACCTCCTTCCATCAGCAAGGGCATTGAAGATGAAACGTGGCTGGGTCTTTCAGCATGACAATGATCCCAAACACACCGCCCGGGCAATGAAGGAGTGGCTTCGTAAGAAGCATTTCAAGGTCCTGGAGTGGCCTAGCCAGTCTCCAGATCTCAACCCCATAGAAAATCTTTGGAGGGAGTTGAAAGTCCGTGTTGCCCAGCGACAGCCCCAAAACATCACTGCTCTAGAGGAGATCTGCATGGAGGAATGGGCCAAAATACCAGCAACAGTGTGTGAAAACCTTGTGAAGACTTACAGAAAACGTTTGACCTGTGTCATTGCCAACAAAGGGTATATAACAAAGTATTGAGAAACTTTTGTTATTGACCAAATACTTATTTTCCACCATAATTTGCAAATAAATTCATTAAAAATCCTACAATGTGATTTTCTGGATTTTCTCATTTTGTCTGTCATAGGTGACGTGTTCCTATGATGAAATGTACAGGCCTCTCATCTTTTTAAGTAGGAGAACTTGCACAATTGGTGGCTGACTAAATACTTTTTTCCCCCACTGTATGTACTTGCAAATGTATAAATTGACAAATTCTGAACATTTGGGAAAACTCCTGGCAGACTTGATACAAAATATTGTGTAGTGATGTAATCCTTCACTGGATCAGTCTGAAACTTTGCACACACAATGATGCCATTTTGTGGACAAAATCTAAATTACACCTAGATTCCTACATCACTGTCTGGCCTTTCTCTTTCATTTAAAAAATGATTAAATAAAATAAAAAATAAAACAGATTTTTTTTGTTTGTATTATCTTTTACCAGATCTAATGTGTTATTCTCCTACATTAATTTCACATTTCCACAAACTTCAAAGTGTTTCCTTTCAAATAATATCAAGAATATGCATATCCTTGCTTCAGGTCCTGAGCAGTTAGATTTTGGTTATGTCATTTTAGGCTAAGAAAAAAAAGAAAAAAAGGGTACGATCCTTTTAAGATAGCTAGGTGGGACAACCACATCACAGTCATAGCAGTACATTTTTCTTCTATAAAGTAGCCATCAGCAAAGTCAGATCTAGTAAGGGATATCAAAAGCTGTTTCTGCATCGAGAGATAATACAGCACAAGGAGCTGTTGTTTCTGATAAAACATCTGAGATATGTAATAATCTGAGGTTATCCGAGGATAAAAGTTTAACAAACCCGGGTGTCCATCTTTTCCAAACACATGACACATGATTACAGCATTCCAAATGTAATTGCTGGTTGACTTTACACCACTGATGGCAACTGGGATTCCTACATTAGATGGATTACAAAACGTGTCAAATGAGCATTCCTAACAGTTGATACCCTACATGCTCCCAAAATACTCCATGCATCAGGGTGTCCTCGCCATGTTATGCTGACAATGACAATAGAGAAAAGAGACCTAATGTGACCAGCAACACGGTACACAGTGCCTCTGTCCTGGTCCCTCAGGCATCTGGGCCAACAGGTAGAACTAGTCAGAGTGAATGGAGGGATGAAGGGAGAGAAGCACAGTCAGAGCTAGGTCAACACTTCCCTCAAAGCATGTGTGTTTCAGTGCCGTTTAAGATCAGGGAGGACTTAAAAAATATATATATATATACACACAGTTGAAGTTGGAAGTTTACATAGACCTTAGCCAAATACATTTAAACTTAGTTTTTCACAATTCCTGACACTTAATCCTAGTAAAAATTCCCTGTCTTAGGTCAGTTAGGATCACCACTTTATTTTAAGAATGTGAAATGTCAGAATAATAGTAGTGATTTATTTAAGCTTTTATTTCTTTCATCACATTACATTCCCAGTGGGTCAGAAGTTTACATACACTAAATTAGTATTTGGTAGCATTGCCTTTAAATTGTTTAACTTGGGTCAAACGTTTCAGGTAGCCTTCTACAAGCTTCCCACAATAAGTTGGGTGAAATTTGGCACATTCCTCCTAACAGAGCTGGTGTAACTGAGTCAGGTTGTAGGCCTCCTTGCTCGCACACACTTTTTCAGTTCTGCCCACACATTTTCTATAGGATTGAGGTCAGGGCTTTGTGATGGCCACTCCAATACCTTGACTTTGTTGTCCTTAAGCCATTTTGCCCCAACTTTGGAAGTATGCTTGGGGTCATTGTCCATTTGGAAGACCCATTTGCAACCAAGCTTTAACTTCCTGACTGATGTCTAGAGATGTTGCTTCAATATATCCACATCATTTTCATTCCTCATGATGCCATCCATTTTGTGAAGTGCACCAGTCTCTCCTGCAGCAAACACCCCCACAGCATGATGCTGCCACCCCCGTGCTTCACGGTTGGGATGGTGTTCTTCAGCTTGCAAGTTACCCCCTTTTTCCTCCAAACATTACGATGGTCATTATGGCCAAACAGTTCCATTTTTGTTTCATCAGACCAGAGGACATTTCTCCAAAAAGTAAGATCTTTATCCCCATGTGCAGTTGCAAACCGTAGTCGGGCTTTTTTATGGGGGTTTTGGAGCAGTGGCTTCTTCCTTGCTGAGCGGCCTTTCAGGTTATGCCGATATAGGACTCGTTTTACTGTGGATATAGATACTTTTGTACCGGTTTCCTCCAGCATCTTCACAAGGTCCTTTGCTGTTGTTCTGGGATTGATTTACACTTTTCGCACCAAAGTACCTTCATCTCTAGGAGACAGAACGCGTCTCCTTCCTGAGCGTTATGACGGCTGCGTGGTCCCATGGTGTTTATACTTGCGTACTATTGTTTGTACAGATGAACGTGGTACCTTCAGGCGTTTGGAAATTGCTCCCAAGGATGAACCAGACTGGTGGAGGTCTACAATTTTTTTCCTGAGGTCTTGGCTGATATCTTTTGATTTTCCCATGATGTCAAGCAAAGAGGCACTGAGTTTGAAGGTAGGCCTTGAAATACATCCACAGGTCCACCTCCAATTGATTCAAATGATGTCAATTAGCCTATCAGAAGCTTCTAAAGCCATGACATCATTTTCTGGCATTTTCCAAGCTGTTTAAAGTCACAGTCAACTTAGTGTATGTAAACTTCTGACCCACTGGAATGTGATACAGTGAATTATAAGTGAAATAATCTGTCTGTAAACAACTGTTGGAAAAATTACTTGTGTCATGCACAAAGTAGATGTCCTAACCGACTTGCCAAAACTATAGTTTGTTAACAATACATTTGTGGAGTGGTTGAAAAACGAGTTTTAATGACGCCAACCTAAGTGTATTTAAACTTCCGACTTCAACTGTATATACCACAGCAGGTGAAAAGGACAAGAAGATGGAGGAATTCAAGAGCTCTGGATCCCCTGTTCACTCACAGCCTGCTGTTCTATTTCATTTCAATTCATTACATAACCGACTGACTAATCCAGTTTGCAGTGACATACATGAGCTGTTATGATTCATTTATGCAGATTTTCTGGTCCTGTCCCAGCTCCCTCTCGCCCTACTTCCCCCTCAATAACCCACCACCGCCACAGAAAAGAGACACTGGTATGTTACACCGAGCAGGGGCAAATGTAAGTCTGTACGCACACACACACACGCATACATTCTGCCCTAATGAGTCACTCAATCGAAAAATAATCCCACATTTTTCCTTTACCCACTTGCTGTATACACAGTCACATACAGTACATTCACTCACTCTAGAATGCACACATCTTATCGTTCACATAGGGAGGGAGGAACACAATCTCGGAAATTCGAGTCAAGCCTGGTCGAAATTTGCCAGCAATCCCGGAAATGCATAAAGACCTCAGTTAGTGAAACTGTGGAGACACCACAGACCACAACCCACCAACTTCCCCCTCTCCCAAAACACACAGTCACTAAACAAAGCACAGAGGGGCTACTGTGCGCCTAAGGCAACCACTCACGAGTGAGGGGAAAGTTGGGAGGAGAGACAGAGGGCAGTCTTGGTTAATGTGGACCCCTCCTTGTGAGGCTACTGCTAGTGCTGGCTTATAGGGGGCCAGAGCAAGTGGTGGCCTGGAGGGGTGCATGACAATGAGGGGTTTGTGGGAGGAGGAAGGCCCGTCAGCTGGGGTATAAGATCGGGTTGAATGGGGGCCACGCTCTGCCACAGAGGCCTCGGCAGATGGCCATGGAGCAGCATGGCTGCAGGGAGGCTCCTTAATACATTCAGACTGATTGACACTCAGAGGACAGGAGAGGAGAGGAGAGGAGAGGAGAGGAGGAGAGAGAGTGTGTGAGTGAAAAAGACCGGGAGTGTGAGGGAGAAAGGAAGCGAGAGGGAAGGGGGAGGAAGGGAGATCCTTGTTACACTAACCTTATCAGAAACTGCATAATGCAGTGAAGTGTGAGCAATGGAATTTATAGAACTGCTAGAAGTCTAGAATTGTAGATTGGCAATGACACAAACCAACAAAAGAACTACCCCGTCCCCCACTGGCACACTCCGTCACTCATTCATACAAAGAAACAAACACCATTAAAACTTTCAACAGCAATGCCATAAGGTCAGAAAAGTCTACATTCATCTGGTTGGAAACAGGAGAAGCTGGTCAACTGTGATCTAAGTGGGCCAGAGACAGTCTGACACCATTTAGCTGTCTGACACATGCTACAACATTGAACCTGGTCCCAAACATGTCTAAATCCCCCAATAGAGGGACAAGTAGTGAGAGGGAATGAGGAGAGAGGGATGAGCCCAGCCTAATCCCTGAGGCCAGTCACCAGATAAACTCTCACCACACACACTCTGCTTCATCCCTCCCATCCCCTGATCCCACCCTTCTTACCTTCTCATCTTCTTCCTTCTTGCCTTTCAGCAGCAGTGTGTCTATGTGCTTAGACATCCCTGCAGGGGGACTATAGCTAGTGGAGACACAGCAGTAACACCTCTAGTCTACTCCATACTGGGCAGTCAGTCAGGTGCCCTGCAGTGACTCTAGGTATTGCATTCCTTATCAGCTTAATTCAACAGACTGCTGCTGCGGCTCTGGCTGTCAAGGTCAGACACAGACCCAAGCACTGCACGGCTGCCACTATTAATGCTGTTAGCCTAGTGTAAACACACTGCTAATGAGGCTGAACTAACTGTCTGGTTATGTTAGCATTAACTAGTCTAGCACTAATTCACTGGGAGTGTTGAGAAGAAGTGTTAGATAGTAATGTACTGATAGTAGCAAGAGGCCTGCTCAGTCGCCAACACACTGCTGTTCAAATCTATCAGGGAATGAATTGAAATGCATGTCCTGTATTTCTCTATCCAACACTACATTGTTTAGCGGTAAACAGGAAATTGGATAGTGGAATTTGGGGTGTGTTTTGATAAATAGCTATATCAAACCCCCTTTGATTTCGTAAGACAGCCTTCCCTGTTGTCACTTGGCAACATTAACAACATTTTAAAACGTTTAATTTCAACAAGTCAGTTTCAATTATCATTCTCACAACATCAAATACTAGCTGTTTTCATAGAACAGCCTTTCATGGCTATTATGTAAAGTAGTGTTCTGTGCTGTAGAGACACACTTCCTCTCCTGGACAACAAGCCTGTGAGATTCTGATAGGTCGTTTAGGATGTTTGGGTTCTGTCTTGCCCACACCCACTCAAGGGAGGCAGAAGTCAACTACTGCGGTGTCATCTTAAAATGGTACTACAATCATTCCAGTCTCCATTTTAAAACGTTTAATTTCAACAAGTCAGTTTCAATTATCATTCTCACAACATCAAATACTAGCTGTTTTCATAGAACAGCCTTTCATGGCTATTATGTAAATTTCCCTATTGTGTTACATTTCTCCTTAACTCCTGCTTTCTTGTATTTTGTCTCCCAGACAGCACAACAATAGCTGGCTCAGTCTCTTACAGTGATGATACAAACGGAAACCTGAGCCCCAACTGGACTAGCTTTTCCTGCCTTTGATGAAACTATTCTGTCCTCACCCCTGCTGCTTCTTCTCCTAAACCGGACATCCTACACGGATATATACAGTGCATTCAGTAAGTATTTAGACCCCTTGACCTTTTCCACATTTTGTTATGTTACGGCATTATGCAAACATTTATTAAAATTGTTTTTGTTACTCATCAATCTACACACAATACCCCATAATGACAAAGCAAAAACAGGTCTTTAGAAATGTTTGCAAATTTATTAAAAATAAAAAGCTGAAATGTCACATTTACATAAGTATTCAGACCCTTTACTCAGTACTTTGTTGAAGCACCTGTGGCAGCGATTACAGCCTTGAGTATGACACTACAGGCTTGGCACACATTTATTTGGGTAGTTTCTCCACTTCTTCTCTGCAGATCCTCTCAAGCTCTGTCAGGATGGATAGGGAGCGTCGCTGCACAGCTATTTTCAGGTCTCTCCAGAGATGTTCGATCGGGTTCAAGTCCAGACTCTGGCTGGGCCACTCAAGGACATTCAGAGACGTGTCCCGAAGCCACACCTGCGTTGTCTTGGCTGTGTTCTTACGGTTATTGTCCTGTTGGAAGGTGAACCTTCGCTCCAGTCTGAGGTCCTGAGCGCTCTGGAGAAGGTTTTCATCAAGGATCTCTCTGTACTTTGCTCCGTTCATCTTTCCCTCGATCCTGTCTAGTCTCCCAGTCCTTGCCGCTGAAAAACATCCCCACAGCATGATGCTGCCACCTCCATGCTTCACCGTAGGGATGGTGCCAGGTTTCCTCCAGATGTGACGCTTGGCATTCAGGCCAAAGACTTCAATCTTGGTTTCATCAGACCAGAGAATCTTGTTTCTCATGGACTGAGTCCTTTAGGTGCCTTTTGGCAAACTCCAAAAGAGCTGTCATGGCTAACTCCAAAAGAGCTGAGGAGTGGCTTCCGTCTGGCCACTCTACCGTAAAGGCCTGATTGGTGGAGTGTTGCAGAGATGGTTGTCCTTCTGGAAGGTTCTCCCATCTCCACAGAGGAACTCTGTCAGAGTGACCATCGGGTTCTTGGTCACCTCCCTGACCAAGGCCCTTCTCTCCTGATTGCTCAGTTTGGCCGGGCGGCCAGCTCTAGGAAGAGTCTTGGTGGTTCCAAACTTCTTCCATTTAAGAATGATGGAGGCCACTGTGTTCTTGGGGACCTTCAACGCTGCAGATTTTTTTGGAAACCTTCCACAGATATGTGCCTCGACACAATCCTGTCCCGGAGCCCTACGGACTATTCCTTCGACCTCATGGCTTGGTTTTTGCTCTGACATGCACTGACAACTGTGGGTCCTTATATAGACAGGTGTGTGCCTTTCCAAATCATGTCCAATCAATTGAATTTACCACAGGTGGACTCCAATCAAGTTGTAGAAACATCTCAAGGATGATCAATGGAAACAGGATGCACCTGAGCTCAATTTCGAGTCTCATAGCTAAGGTTCTGAATACTTATGTAAATAAGGTCTATTTTTTAATTGTAATACATTTGCAAAAATGTCTAAACCTGTTTTTTTTGTTTTGTCATTATGGGGGATTGTGTGTAGATTGATGAGAATTTTTATTTGTTTAATACATTTTTGAATAAGACTAACGTAACAAAATGTGGAAAAAGTCAAGGGGTCTGAATACTTTCCGAATACACTGTAGGTAACTTGCCATTGCTTTAAACCATCCTACAATGGTTGGATATAAAGAGTAGTGTTCTGTGCTGTAGAGACACACTTCCTCTCCTGGACAACAAGCCTGTGAGATTCTGATAAGGTCGTTTAGGATGTTTGGGTTCTGTCTTGCCCACACCCACTCAAGGGAGGCAGAAGTCAACTACTGCGGTGTCATCTTAAAATGGTACTACAATCATTCCAGTCTCCTCCTCCACCTCCTCTCAAAAATGGTCACATCAGCCCTGTGTGTCAGCACCATGACTACGATCCCTGATGTTTGTGCTCTCACTCCCCTAAGTGTCTAACTCCATGCTGTGCCACCCAAAATGGATGATGTCAGCTGTAAATAATAATAACAACCCTTACCAAACCACCCCCACCATAGTTCCACTGGCTTCTTCATTTTCCTGTAGATGCTTGGTTTCTATGGACAACCCAGGAAATTGTACACTGGCAACAAGGGTGCATTGGACTTATAAGCAACAGGTCAAAACTGAGATAAGTTAGTCATCTAGGTAAGTACTTAAACAGCAAGAAACTGGTTAAAGTAAATGGAAAGAGAGGGCTCATGGGTAGGAGTCAGTGTGTGAGTGAGAGAGATTGAGAGAGATTACACAGACCCAAAGAATTCGAAAACAAATCCAATTTTGATTAACTCCCATATCTATTGGGTGAAATACCACAGTGTGCAATCACAGCAGCAAGATTTGTGACCTGTTGCCACAAGAAAAGGGCAACCAGTGAAGAACAAACACCATTGTAAATACATTTTCCCTTTTGTACATCGTTACAGCACTGTATATAGACATAATGACATTTGAAATGTCTCTATTTTGGAACTTGTGCGAGTGTAATATTTACTGTTCACTTTTTACTGTTTATTTCACTTGTGTTTATCCATTTCACTTGCTTTGGCAATGTAAACATATGTTTCCCATGCCAATAAAGCCCCTTGAATTGAATTCAATTGAATTGAGAGTGAGTGAGTGAGTGAGTGAGTGAGTGAGTGAGTGAGTGAGTGAGTGAGTGAGTGAGTGAGTGAGTGAGTGAGTGAGTGAGTGAGTGAGTGAGAGAAAGGGGTTGTCCAGAGTCTGACTGTTTTAACACTCTTGGTTTCACCACCAGACAAAAGAAAGATAATGAAAACAGTTATCAGCTGAACAGGATGCCAGTGAAAGGGAGGAAAGTAGCAGGTGACCCAACTGTGGTTTGTGACTATTACGATTTCCCATTGTAGCCAATTCAGTTCGCAGTAATTCCATTACTGATTTTTGGTAATTTCGTTACCAATTACAAGTTTTAATCCCTTAACTATTATATCAGTAAAATCACTAACTAATTGGTAGGTCTACCATTACTTGTTACTTATGTGAACTTTAATTATCCTCCTTCCTCATGAGGGAGAGAAATTAGAAAATATCTTAAAGATGTGAGTTTTTGGTAACAGAATTACAAGGCAATATTTCTTAAACTTACAGAAGGTAAACAATTTCTACGAAACTAAATATAACATTATTGTGCTTTGATATACAGTACCAGTAAAACGGTTGGACACTCCTACTCATTCAAGGGTTCTTCTTTATTTTACTATTTTCTACATTGTAGAATAATAGTGAAGACATCAAAACTATGAAATAACACATATGGAATCATGTAGTAACCAAAAAAGTGTTAAACAAATCAAAATATATTTTATATTTGAGATTCTTCAAATAGCCACCCTTTGCCTTGATGACAGCTTTGCATGCTTTTGGCATTCTCTCAACCAGCTTCACCTGGAATGCTTTTCCAACAGTCTTGAAGGAGTTCCTACATACGCTGAGCACTTGTTGGCTGCTTTTCCTTCACTCTGCCGTCCGACTCATCCCAAACGATCTCAATTGGGTTGAGGTCAGGTGATTGTGGAGGCCAGGTCATCTGATGCAGCACTCCATCACTCTCCTTCTTGGTAAAATAGCCCTTACACAGCCTGGAGGTGTGTTGAGTCATTGTCCTGTTGAAAATAGTCCCACTAAGCCCAAACCAGATGGGATGGCGTATCGCTGCAGAATGCTGTGGTAGCCAGGCTGGTTAAGAATTCTAAATAAATCACAGACAATGTCACCAGCAAAGCACCCCCACACCATAACACCTCCTCCTCCATGCTTTACGGTGGTGAAATACACATGCGGAGATCATCTGTTCACCCACACCGCGTCTCACAAAGACACGGCGGTTGGAACCAAAAATCTCCAATTTGGACTCCAG